CGCTAATCCACAAAATATGGGTCATTTTCCAATAACACTGAGAATTAATTGAAATAATTTTATTCTAAAGATATGATATTCCTCTTTCCCAAGGAAGAATAGGAAATTCTGGTGAATTAGAACAGATTGGAATATCTTTCTTTTCATAATGACTTTTCAGAGAAAGAATATCTCCATTTCCGTGCACATTTTGGGCTTTCGCTTCTTCACTACGGTCCACCTCTGCCAGCTTATAGCTCAGTAAAGCGACCAACATTTTTATTATGAGTCATCAGATTCAAAAGTGCTAAAGGTTGCCAGGCTTGCTTCAAAGACCGTCCACTATTTATAGCGGATTACCCACATTCCTCTGCTTGTCTTCGAACTTTATGTTCGACCTTAGAATAAAAAACTCATGGTTGTTACCTACCTATTCGTATAAATAGCTTCATAACTTATGTAGCCCTAGACATTGGACATTGGACTTAAACTCATGTTACTTTCATAAATAATCAACTTAGTTAGGGTTGGTATACCATTATATTGCATATTACCCAAAATCGTGTATTTCTCAATATTATCTTCTTTACAGACATCAATTCTCAGATCCAAGAAAGCAAAGAGTGAGCTCCTAAAGAGATATTGGTCTTCTAATTTGCTAAACATAGCCAAGGTAATTAGCATAAATGCAAAAAATGCCAACAATAAATCTTGCTCTTATTTGTCGACTTCTTTTTGACCATTGAGCATAGAAGCAAATTTTGGCTGGCCTGAATGCCCTACTATAGATAAATCGAATTTATCAATAAGTATGGCCACGAATTACTTGAATAAAATTAGAGTAGGAAAGATGAGGCAAGGTAGTGTACATAAAATGTAAGCTACTGGAGACCGAACCAGGGGAAATAGGAGAGCCGACTATTTCGAGGTGCTAGATGCCATGCCACTGTAGTGCGACCGTCTTATCCAGTCGCTTCCTTCATTGTTCACTTCGTTGAAGGCAGCGGATGGACTTTGGAGTGTCTAACCGATGTGCACGCTTCATTTGAGCATAGTAAATGGGGACTTCAGCCAATTGGTTTGTATGAGGGCAAACTTTTTCTGCTATTCAAGCAGGCTCCAGTGCTAAATTAACGAAAAGTGGGAGAAAAAGGGTGGATCCAATCGTAGATCAGGCCCAAATGGTGACCTTCAGGGCTTGGAGCGAGATGCAAGAGATGGGATGGATTGAGTTGACCCTTATTTGAGCGTGTTGGTAGAATCTGCAAATTCGCCTACTTAGCTGGCCAGCAAAACTGGTGAGAAATTCATCGGGTTTGAGTTGCCTACAGGTGTTGTCATCGTTCCTCCTCAAATGTGGCCTTGTAACGCAATTTAGCAGATAGTGTGCATCCTTGAAGTTTGTTTGAAATGTAGAATATAAAAGATGTTACTATGACTTGATGTCAGTATAAGCCGATTGGGCCGAATTCACAGCAAGCCTTCTGTAGGCTTCAGTTACAATGGGCAGCAAACAAAATGTGAGAGGCAAGGCTGATTGCTGATAATCGGGCGAATGTAATTCGGGATAATACATGGCTTATTATTGAGTATGTTTTAATTTATAAAAAAGGAAAATATTCTCGAAGATATTTTTGCCACAGCCCCTGTATACCATAAATGATTGATTTAGTCTAGTTTCTGTATCTCGAATCTATCTTATCAAAAAAATTTTTTTAAATCTCATAAATCGTTGTCCAAATATCGTATTCCTTCCTTACCGGATCACCAATCAGGTACGATTTTAGATGCGTTGTCTGCATGCAAGTCGGTGGCCTTGATCAGGAGCGAGCCAGCTTGCCAGTTGGACAGAACGTGACTTGGCCTTTTACGATCGGCCTCCTCAAACGCCGCGATTGGGTTTGGTTTATCTTGGTAAAAAGGATTGACTAAATTAGTCTCCAGAAAGCCATCTTGCTCCATCCATTTCAAAAAAACCTACTCACAAGCTGAGGCTAAGTAATGTATTCGATTGCCAATACAAATACAAGTTTACTTCATCGGCAATTCCACCAGAGACTGTGATCTGGGAAAAGGTATGACCTTCAGTGGAATTCGCATCTACACTATGACCAAAGGACATTTGTGGCTGTGTGTTGCAGTGGGTAACGTGTCGAGATTATACGTTACACTGCAAAAACCGGGGTTTTAGTCCTGCTTGGGGTGCTGATGAGACCCAGGTGAGGTATCAACGGCAGGCCATCTGAGAAGGGAATACGTTGTTGGAAGCAAGGATATGTGAAATAGGATGGAAAAGAATGGCCTAATCATATCATTATGGTAAAAATTCAACTGTCAGCTTTACATCACCCTAAACGAAATGGGGTGAATGCATATCTTTTGTATATTTCGGGATATTTTTAAAGATTAACCTAATCCCCTATAAGACCAAATTTAGTCTGGCCGTACTTTATCTGGTTTAGAAGTGTGTCTTGTTTATGGTTAAGATAATCAAAAAAGAATGAAAGCAAGGTCCGAAATACGATCAAGCGTTCACATTAGATCTGATTGCTGTGACATTATAGCTTTAGGCTGACCTATAACACAAACCCACGCATTTGACTGGTATCATATGAATTATACGAGGTCACGTTTTTCTGTATAAAATGAACGAACTCAAAAGGAAGGCTCAAGTGTTGCCTGAAACTGGATTTGGATCAAGCAAATCAAGTCTTATTTGCGAGCTCAGTTGTCTTTGAGTTCGTATTGGGTCTTTTGTACAGCCCAACCTCGTCAACGGAGCCGCCAGTCCATGCAGGCTTCGAATAAAATTGCAAAATTTTATCATCATACCGCTAAACATTTGCACTTTAAATTATGCAGCCAACTTAATGAATAATGGGAATATCGTTTTAGTGGAAATAATTTAAAATAAAACTACATTTTGCAATCATAACATTAGAGTATATGTAAATTAGACAGTTCAGTGCCTGGGGTGAATTTGAGATTCTACAAAGATAAAACATTTCTCATTTATAAACTACGCAATTCAGATTATAGACAAAGTTTGTCCACCACTGAGCAGGTTTGAAATTTGCCTTGTTATTTTGAACGAAATACGCCTATTTATAGAATTTACGAACCCTAAATTCAGTCTCCAGAATATTAGGATATTCTTGCCCCGGCAACAAGGCTACAAGTGAGCCCGATTTATAAAGAATCCAGTCGCCTGGCCAAATGGGGCTATCCGATTGGAGTCAAAGTATGAGTTACTAGTCGATACCACTGCAACTCGTCTCTCATATGTACCTTCACATCATCAACCGAATTCGCGTCATAATGAATGTGTCAGCCCAGATTCATATAACCTAGCCATCATACGACCTTGACCAAATATCAAATACGATGAATGTAAAAGTCGCACATTTTGAAATATATTTTCCTTTTTGATCGAATAATCCGAATAGTCTATCTCTATAGGAACTAGATTTCACATATGCAAACTTGTTTGTCTGAAAGTTACCTGACCAACTTGGTCAGGCTAGGCGACACAAAGTGGTTTAAGAAGTTTTTATGAAGTTTTTATGAAGTTTTTATGAAGTTTTTTTCTCAAGGATAAGAGTTTGCCGCACGATACATTTGTGATTGCATTTGTTTTGACTCCGAAACGGTGGTTAAATCCCGAATGGACTGTACTTCCGACCATATTTACGTCTCGAAACCAGTGCAAGAGCATTGCAGCGACATTTTACCACTCCGATGCAACGGATGCAAAAGCATAGTCATTGTGGGATTTTCGATAAGGCAAACTTGTATTCGAGATTACAATCAATGATCTTGCTTATACTCTATTTATGTATGTTTCGAAGCATTCAATTCGTCTTGAGTAAGGCCGCCGAAGTATACTCATAAGAAATATATGTAATATCGTCTAATAACAGTTTGCTTCATCAACATTCTAACTATAATTATGATTTATAAGATGTCTGGCTCGCCTTAATAGTTTTGTAAAGGTGCATATGGGCTTCTTGTATCGTTGAAAGTCATGATGAGGCCTGGGAAAAGTAAGAACTACAGTCAAGCCTGGAGAAGAGGAACTTTGTGGAAAACATGGTTACAGGAAATTCTGTGTCATCATGAGGCCTAATAATATCAATTCAGGAAAAAATTAGAGTGAAAAAAATCACAAATACCTTTAAAGTGTATGAGATTTATTAATACTATTGCTTTTAGGGGGATAAGGGGACTCTTAGTTGAATTGTACCACAATGATGGGACTAGACATGACGTTTCCACTAAATTTAGCATAGCCTTGCTTTCTCAAAATGTTTTATCATCCTGGAAGGACTGTAGTTTCTACATAGCCCAGGTCCTATCAATAGCCCCAGCGAAACTTGAACCACGAAACTGTAGTTTACAATTTCGAAACTACTAACTACACCACGATGTCACAGGGTCACAGGGCAGATGTGAATTTCAAGGGAGGCCAGGCATCTTCCCATATCACATTCTGTGGCGAGATTCTCAATAAAGCAATGCTGTATTTGCTATAGCAATCAAATATGTTACTCATTTTTCGCTCATAAGTTTGAGATCTATTCATTTTATTTCGCATAAAGTCATGCCCACTCATATCATTGTGGAAAAAATCAACTACCACTCCTCTTATCGCACACCATAGACGAAATAGGATGAATGAATTTCATATATATGATCTACTGGTAGTCTTGAAAGCATAATTTTAAACGAAAAATAACTTTATAAGTATATTCTTATTAAAAATAAGTCGCGTAATCACCTCGGCTTTGCAACGCTACGATCTACTGTCCCTAGGACGCCCGAAGTTAAATGCTCACGAAAGTGCTGGATTGGAGAGATGCGAAATTTATTTTCATATTTTTCACTGACTTTAATATTCGTCTGCTTGTCAACAATACTTGAGCTTTTATCGTCCTTTTACAGAACCTTCCTTTAGTATGGTAAGATCGGATCGAGAATACCGGCCTCACCGGTAGGTGGAGCGCCAGAGGCATTTCCAACCTTTATATTCTGCCCATGTTGCCTCGAGCCGCATCGGTCAACTTACCACCTCCACTTCGCTCCATGTCCCGGAAAAGTGGTCCCCTGTCGACATTTTCGGGGCGAATCTGCTTCGGTGCGATACACCGACCGGATAAAATGTGACTAGACGAGAGAGTGGATGGGCTGGGGAGTGGACGAAGAGGGTCATCGACAGATACAATCGGGCAAATCGAGCCCGCCTGCGCACAACAAGTAGGCGATGGCATCTAACGCCCTCGCCATTATACAAATTATTGTTCATACGGGCAGGCATCGGAGCGGAGGGCAACACCTCGCCGTCGCTGTGATTGCCTCGAGCCTGTTTGCGGCAAAATCCACTAAAATGAAGTTTTTGTACACTTTAGCGCACTTGTCTCTTCGTAGAGAAGACACTTGGCAACAAAGAGTCGGCATCGCCACTAAAATTACGACATTGAGATTCATGGGTTGGTAAAACAGACAAGGACAACCTGCAGAGGAGGCGAGTGGAATTATCGGATGTCGTCGTTTTTGTTGGAACCATCAAGCCATTTTTGTATTGGAGTAGAGTTTCTAGACTACCAGTAAATCAGTAATATGAGATGTTTTCACCCTATTTCGTTTAAGGTGATGAAGGCCTGGTAGTAGAATTTTCCCACAATGATATGAGTTGAGCTGGCGTTTTCATTGAATTTCACATAGCCTTGATCTCCCTAAAGTTGTTCTCATCCAGAATGGACTACAGTTTCGATCTCGCATTGGTCTTATCATCACCCTAAGCGGGAGTCGAACCGTGACATTGCAGAATGGGAGATTGACACGTCAACAATTCTTTGGTGTGATTGTCGATGAAGCAAACGTATATTTGCTTTAAAATTCGACTACATTATTTATTTTTCGTATTTAAGTAGAGTTTCAGTACTACCATTAAATCAGTAGTATGAGATGTATTCACTCTATTTCGTTTAAGGTAGTCTCGTAAATCTACTTAAATATGAAAAATAAGTAACGTAGTCGATTGTTATAGCAAATATATGTTTGCTTCATCGCCAATCCCACCAAAAAACATGAAATGGCAAAAGGCCTGACCTTCCTTTAAATTCACTTATGCTCTGTGATCCAAAGGCACTCGTGGCAATGTGATAGAGTGGTTAACGTATCAAGCTCCCATTCTGCACTGTCACGGTTCCACTCCCACTGGGGGTGTTGATAAGACCGATGCGAGTTCGAAACTGCAGTCCACTCTGGATGAGAACAACATATGGGAAAGCCAGGCAATGTGAAATTCAATGTAAACGTCAGCTCAACTCATATTATTGTGGGACAATTCTACTACCAGTCCTTCATCACCTTAATCGAAATTGGGTAAATACATCTCATATTACCATCCATCTACTCAACCGTAGTAATCACATAACAAAAGACTGGAAGTGTCGAATGTACTTCTATCAATTCCATAGAGCCAATGTACTAAACTACAGGTACAGCCAATCCGATGCTCCCTCAGAAATTTTTGGTCTAGGTTCATTTTGAGACTGTCAGTATCGTCTTGTACAAGGACTTACTCACACTAGGCGACGCTTACTGTCTTGTAAGGACTGATAGTTGATTATTCCCACAATTAGACGAATAGGCGGTACAATTCAAATTAATAGTACTGGGCCCAGCCTTGACTTAGTTAATAGCAAAGAATTATCGACAATTTTTGAAAACTACTCTCATCGAAAATAAGTAGCCTCTTTGGGTTTGCCTCACAATAAATGTGATCTGGCTTGCCTTCAAAGTCACATCAAGCCTGCAAGGCCAACGGGCATCTGTGGCTATGCCAAAAGTGGTAAACTATCTTGTTTAGGCACGCCGGTTTAAAGTGTTTCCTTATCGGACTGATTTCTAATCTGCACAAGAGTAATCGAGGAGAACACTTAATTTTAGTAATTAATTAATTTCGTTTTTTACTGCATCTCCCAAGGCATTCTCATCCGACGCGAACTGAAGTTACGACCCAGCTTCTCCCGTGAGATCTGAAATGTTTGTTTGTGTGTGTCTGTGTGTGCGTGCGCGTGTATGAGTTGAATAAGATGCGAATATGCTACTCTCTAAGCCATCTAAACCGAACCCCAAGACCTTCTAAGCAAAGCAGGCCTCATTCAATCCTTATCATGATCTGGAGACTTTTATGTTGATGGACAAGCGTTACTAATTGTGCATTCTCTACATAAGAGCAGATGAACGCCTCAAACACACACCTGACGCTTGGTAGAAGCGGATTTGCCTAAATCGAGATTTGTCGATTTTATGAATTAATCAGTCACGAATCATTTAACCTGAGCAGCTCTGAAAAACGAGATTAATCAATTGACAGTCTTCGAAAGAATTTATCGTCTGTTTAGAGTGCTTAAAGAGAAGTACGCTAACAGTAATCCAGCCTTAGAGGCCTTAAATCATTTCAGATACATTTCAAGATTCATATTAATAAATCTCCCAAAAAACCATTGAGCAAGAAAGGTTAAATTAAATGGACTGGTACAACATGATACAGTATAGCTAATTATAAACGTTATTTTATCGCACTTTCAAGACCAGGATGCTAGAAATTAGGCCAAGGCATAATTGGTTCTTACCTTCGTTTCCGTTTTCTCTGTGCAGGACCTCATCTACCATCAATCAAGAAATTGAGTAATTCATACGAGATAGAATTTATTTAAAAAATTTTCAAATTATTTGATTATTTGTCATTTAGCGAAAATTAATCTTACCTTCCCTGCCTCCTGGAGGCCACATACGTGTGCCAAAAATAGATGGACTAAGCTCAGGCCTTATTTTTTTATCCATCCTTATCCTAACTCCATCTTTTTAGTGGCCCGTAATCTGGCCCAAACCTCGGTTTAGAGCTCAACTTGCGTCCCCAATTGATTGAGTAAACGTGGCTTTCAGGACTGGGAAGCCACACGAACAGAAAAAGCGATAAATCGTAAGTAAGATTACTTTACATTCGTATATATCCCTTCGAATCGGCCCGTCGTACTCAAACCAGTAATGTTAAGTTTCGCCTCTTAGCATGTCAATAAGCTTATTGCCAGTTAACACAATGGCCCTCAGGTGTATAAACGGACCTTAGGTCAATTATTTTAGGGAATTTTGAGGATATATTGACAAAGTTAAGATCAGCCTTAATGTTAGAGGTATGCAGCACATTCTTATTTCTTCACATTTGATTAGGTATTAGTTACCTCTTTATTAAGCCTAAGAGAGCACTAAACACACTTATTGATCCCAATATAATGTGGCTTCGATATTAGTATCTTTATTAAGTATATATTATTATTTATACATTGTTTTATTAGAGTATAAGACTTATTATTTTGAGAATTATACTAATATTATAAGTAAACGATAACGAATTCATCCTGACAACGTTTGTAAAGGTCATTTTGCTGTTCAAAAGTTCAAAAAAACTGGGCAAGCATTAAATTCCTTTAATAAGTAGAGAGTTTTTTGGTTTCGTTATTGGGGCCTGGTGAATGACGGTGCATAATACCTTAGTTGTCTATCGGAATGAAAGCAAACGCAAGCCAAGGGACTCTGTTTGTTTTAAATTCTTGCCTACCCTCTGCCTCATTGAGCATAAGGGGGCCGCGGTTTAGTAGTCCGGACTTTAGCTTAGCGAAGTAACCGAGCCGAAGGGGGATCTTGCTGCCAAAGCTGGTCCTTTATGAAGAGAATTTTATCTAGACTTTCCTTAATAGAAAATGTAGTAGACAAGTACAACGTTTCTTTACACTTCATCGTGATTAGCTGAATCTCCTGATGTGGTAAGAAAATGGGACTAGCAGTATACATACATTAGAGGGTAATATGTATATGATTTAGTAACAAAACTTGCCCATATAAGGCATTATTTTCTCTAGATTTTTAGTTAAATCATTTCGCTATATTCAGAAGCCTTGCGTGTGAAACATTAAATAGTGAGCAGACATCGAAATTTATGTCAGCCCTGGCATTATTCACATGATATTTGTGCTTATTATAAAAATATAAAAATGATTATCTCATCCTCATAAGGCGTCACCGTGAATTCTAAAATTTACAGTGAATAGTGAATCCCCAACTATTCTAATATACCAAACTGTATAAGATTATAAACCCTAAAAGTAAAAATTATGAAATAGAGCCAATACATTACAATGATCTACAAAGGCATAGAATGAGATCAGCCATCAGCAAGGGAATACATTATCCTGATGTTAAAACGACATGAACTATTTTCATATCTAATTTTCAATTAAGGTTATTCGTTTTTTGTATAAATTAAATATAAACATAACTATCTTTTTCTCGTTAGGGGGACCTTCATTTCGAATGAAAGTACATAAAGAAGAGATTCGTTGGTCGATCTCACCAGATGAGGACGGATGAAA